CACCTCAGGGACACGGGGGCACTGACAGGGACACGGGGACATGGACATTGTCACCTTGGGGACATGGGGACACTGTCATCGTCACCGTCAGCGCCTGTGGCACGGGGACAATGTCACTGTCACCTCGGGGACATGGGGACATGGTCACTGTCACCTCGGGGACATGGGGACAATGTCACTGTCACCTCTGGGACATGGGGACATGGTCACTGTCACCTCTGGGACATGGGGACATGGTCACTGTCACCTTGGGGACAGCCAGCCCCGGGCGCGGAAACTGCCCGCGGCCTTGGTCATCGTCACCGTCAGCGCCTGCGGCACGGGGACAATGTCACTGTCACCTCGGGGACATGGGGACAATGTCACTGTCACCTCAGGGACACGGGGGCACCGACAGGGACACGGGGACATGGACATTGCCACCTTGGGGACATGGGGACACTGTCATCGTCACCGTCAGTGCCTGCGGCACGGGGACATTGTCACTGTCACCTCTGGGACACGGGGACATGGTCACTGTCACCTTGGGGACATAGGGACACTGTCATTGTCACCTCTGGGACACCCAGGGGACATGGACATTGTCACCTCTGGGACATGGGGACACAGGGACACAGGGACACGGTCATTGTCACCTTGGGGACATGGGGACATGGGGACAGTGTCACCTCTGGGGACACTGGGACACGCTCATTGTCACCTCTGGGGACACAGGGACACCATCAGGGACACTGGGACATGGACATTGTCACCTTGGGGACACCATCATGGACATGGGGACATGGACATTGTCACCTTGGGGACACAGGGATGGTGTCACCTCTGGGGACACGGGGACACGGGGACATTGACAGAGTCATTGTCACCGTCAGCGCCTGCGGCACGGGGACACGGACAGGGTCACCTTGGGGACACGGGGACACCAACAGGGACACGGGGACACTGTCACTATCACCTCTGGGACACGGGGACACCAGCAGGGACACGGGGACATGGACATTGTCACCTCTGGGACATCCAGGGGACATGGTCAAGGGACACAGTCATTGTCACCTCAGGGGACACCCAGAGGACATGGACATTGCCACCTTGGGGACACAGGGACACGGTCATTGTCACCTTGGGGACACAGGGACACCATCATTGTCACCTCTGGGACACCCAGGGGACACGGTCATTGTCGCCTCTGGGGACACGGGGACATGGGGACAGCGGGACACAGCCAGGGGACACCTNTCATTGTCACCTCTGGGACACCCAGGGGACACGGTCATTGTCGCCTCTGGGGACACGGGGACATGGGGACAGCGGGACACAGCCAGGGGACACCTGGGGCCAGGGCGTGTCCCCAAAGGCAGGACATTGTCCCCAAACTCTGTCCCCAAGGGCAGGAATTGTCCCCAAGGCCGGGGGACAGCTGGGCACGGGGACAGGGAGGGGACAGAGAGGGGACAGCTGTGACAAGGTCAGGGACTGTCCCCAATGGCCCCAGTGTCCCCATTGTCCCTAGCAGTGTCCCCATCACTTGTCACCTGCAGTGTCCCCGCGCGGTCCATCCTGGTGATGTCCCCACTGTCCCCAGTGTCCCCAATCCCCCTGAGTGTCCCCAATGTCCCCAATCCCCCAATGTCCCCATTGTCCCCAATGTCCCCAATGTCCCCAACCCCCC